GCTGCACCACGGGAGGTCCCCTCAAACTTGGCAACTGCTTAGCATGATGCTTGCAACGAAGACGCTGGGAGATTGATTGAGGAATCCGGCCGTGGGGGGTGCCGTCGGGACCCAGTGCGGGAGTCCGAGAACCCAGCAATTTCGTGCGAAGCAGGTTGTCTCACATGAGTATGCTTTACATGATGCTTGCAACGACGACGATGCGAGATTGTTGGATGCGCCAGGCCGTGGGGAGTGCCGTCGAGACCCAATGCGGGAGACCGAGAGCCCAGCCGTTGCGGACGCCGCGAGATTGTCGAATGAAACAGGCCGTGGGGAGCGCCGTCGGGACCCAGCGCGGGAGACCGAGAACGGAGTGTTTTCGTCACGTATTGCCTCACATGGCTGTGCTACACGTGATGTTTGCAGCGCGGACGCTGCGATATTGTTGAATGAATCAGGCCGTGGGGAGCGCCGTCGGGACCCAACGCGGGAGACCGAGAACCCAGCCATGCATGTGTGCGAGATTGAGATTTCAGTGTTCACATCTACCATAGACAATGGGACCCGCATCGTTGACAACGTTTGCACATCGGAGACGGCGAAAGTGAGCGAAGCAACCATGAAGTTACCAATCATGATATACAAACATGTGGTACAAGAGGAAAACGGCTGTATCCGCTTCATGAAGAGACTTTGCATTGCAAGTGAGAGAGGCACGCACGCGGTCTGGGCTAAAAATATTACTCGTGGTTGCAAGCAGCTCATAGCGACATAGACAAAACGACAGAGCAACTGGTGCTGGACAAAAAAGGGTGATGATTACACGCAAGAGTACGCATGGCAATGTGTTCGCCCCTAACATTCCAGAACATGCTCATGTGTTCCGCGACCCAAGCCCGCCATATCAACATACCAACAACAAACAGAGCCAGAGCCGCAGACCAAGACATAATACCCACCGCGAATAGCAGCGTACTTCGGCAACGTGGCGAGTACTTGGCGCGTCGCGAAACGTGAAATAATAATGCGGACTGGCTCCGCTCCAGTGCCCCTGGGTACTGCGGCTGTCGCCGCTCCGCGGCTGTCCCCCCGCACCTTCCTCTTCTCCCCCTGGTCGGGGATCCTCGGCTCTTGCTGGCTCGGTGGTTTCCTCGGCTTTCCCTTCTCTTTCCCCTCTCTCGCTCCTGCGCGCCTTTACCCCCATTGGGGTAGTGGAGTTTGGTTCCAGTGGAGGCTCTCAGAGGACGAGCCCCGCCTGGACAGACCAGGGCAGGCGCGCCCTCCAGCATTCTCAGTTGCTAGAGTCCTCCTGGCAGCTTATATGCATGGCTCTTCCCGCCCGCCCGCTTCTGAGGCCCTTGCCCTTTTCCCCTCCTCCGGCGTCTGTTCAGGAGTCTCCTTGGTGTTGCAGGGTTCCCTGCTTCGGGGCAGCAGGACCACGACCCACGGGGTTCGGGCCTGCCCTGCTCTCAGCAGCCCCGCGGGTCGGATGACCGTCCAAAGCCGAGGGTGCCGCCTCCACTATTTTTCCCAGGGGTCAAGAGTGCCCAGAGTCGTAGAGGGCACGACCCCCGACGGCCTTATCCTTATCCCTATCCCTATCCTTATCCTTCCCCTCCTCCTCCTCCTCCTCCTCCTCCTCCTCCTCCTCTTCCTCTTCCTCCTCCTCATCATCATGATCATCATCATCATCATCATCATCATCATCATCATCATCATCATCATCATCATCATCATCATCATCATCATCATCATCATCATTATCCCTGTTCCCGTTCCTCCACCTGCCTGGGCCTGCCGCCGTCGCAGCCGCCGTCGGCGTCGTCGCGTTGGACCTCGTCTTCGACCTTGTCGTCGTCGCTGGGGGGCGAGTGAGGAGGCGGGGTGGTGGAGGATGGAGGGTGGAAGGGGAGTCGGGGGCGGCCTAGAGAGGGCTGATGAATAGGAGGGCTGGATATCATGGCAAGGGGCCATGATATCGCCGCGGATGTTGTGGTCCCCTCTTCTTCTCTCAACACGTCTCTTGGTCACCCCCTCGTCCGCGCACGCACATGCCTCGGGCCATGAGTTGCGAACCCCTCGCTTGGACGCCCCTGGCGTCGACGCCAGCGTCGGCATCGGCGTCGTCGCCATCGCCGTGAGACGAAGTGGGGGGGGGGGGGTCCTGCTTGGAACGCGCCCGAAAATGGGTCTGGCGGTCGAGTGGCGAAGCGAGTCTACGAGTTGTCCTAGTCCTGGGGAGTAGACTACATAATGAAAACAGTCCTGGCGATGGGTCGAGACCCTTGGGGGCCCACGTTTGAAAACCTTACGCCAGCGATCTGAAAGGAAATGGGGATAGCAGGAGAGGAGGACGAAGAGGGGGGAAAGGGATCGGACCGACGACTTGAGCTCGACGTCCTCACCTGTGGACCCACAAGCTGCCACCGCGGGCCGAAAAGGTGTGCGAAAGGCTTACGTTTCTCCACTCCCCGTGTGTTGCCTCCCGTCAACGAACACCCGACCGAGGCGGGGGCACCAGAAGGAGAAGTCATGTGTGATCTCGCGGGTTCATCCCACCGAGATCATGGCCACCACCTCCACCACCCGTGGTCATTGCCTTCACGGGTCTCACTGTAGCCTCTTCGGCTCAAGCTTAGCGTGACTCGGAGCCCAAACGGTGCCAAATCCTGGTTATGGCTGAGGACCACGAACGGGGCCTCCCCCATGGGCCCAGCGCTAGAGACGACCCGTCGGCCTGCCCAAGAAAGGCGTTGCCGGTGACCTTGCTGACGGGTTTCCTGGGGGCGGGAAAGACGACCCGACTCAACGCCACTTTGACGTTTGGTAAGGAAAAAATCGCTGTCATCGAGAACGAGATCGGCGCCCTCGGTGTCGATGGAGAGCTCGTCGCCAACAGGCACGAGGACGGGATCATCGAACTCACCAACGGTTGTTTGTGCTGCTCCGCCGAGGTGGACTTGGTCTCCGCGCTCGAGTCGCTTGCGCATCGGCGCCACGACTTACCATTCGACCGCGTGGTGATCGAGACCACAGGGCTCGCGGACGTGGCCCCAGTGGTAGAGCTGATCGGCGACCCCGCCGACCCACTGGCCGCAGACTTCTTCCTTGACGGCGTCGTGACCGTAGTGGACGCGGCCAGTTTCCGGCGGTGGGCCAGTGCCGACTGTTCCGTTGCGGGCTCGGCCGAAGCGGAGGAGCTGCTGGCCAGCCCCGTCGCCACTTGGGCCAGCGGCTTCGGGGCCCCAGGTGGCGTGGCCCTCGGGGCGACCACAGGGGGGCTGGGGCGCCGGGCTGCCATGGCCGCGTTCTGGAAGCAGGTCGCCCTCGCGGACCAGATCATCCTAAGCAAGGTTGCAGGGCACCAATCAGACTCAAGTCGGGGCCTGTTCCTCTACAGGAGGGCGATTTCTCATTTTTCTTCCAAAATCCGCGTGTAGGACGACATGCCCGGCCTAAAAGCAAACACCTACACCGATCCTGGCCAGGCCGACCCTGGGCCCAGCGTCGGTGTACGTGCTTCTGTGCCCAAGCCAAGAGAGCGTATGCACCGATCATGGGCCCAGGATGGGCCTGGAAAGGATCGGTGTAGGCCCAGACACGATCGCGTCGCTAAAGAATCAGGACGGGAGGTTTTTGGCCATTTCCGGCCTCGGGAGGGCCCTCGCAGGGCCTCAGGACCGTCAGAAAGACGATTCAGGATGGAAAACCGGTCCCGGGGAAAGGGTCGGGACTTCCAGGGACCCTGGAGTTGAAGAATCCATGACGTCGCATGTCTGCGGGGTGTATAGTCCCTCGCATCCGACGTTGCCAAACAGAATGCAACCTCGCAAACATTCACGGCCGGAGCCCTGGACCCTGTCTGCGTCATTTATCGAGCCGGATCGGCTTGTGAGGGCCCGAGGGTCCGAAACCGGGCGAAACCGCCCGGTGTGACATTTTTGTCGAGCCAGATCGATCTGTGAGGGCCCCGTGGCCCGAAACCAGGCGAGAGCGCCCAGTGTGAAAAAGTCGCAGCGCCAAGATCTGAGGGGTTGGTGCCTTCGCACGAGTAAGAGAGACAATGATCGTGTCGGGAGGATGGGGCTGGGAGAACCGGTCACGTCGTCCATATGACCGCGTACCTGTTGAATCTGCTGTTCAATACGGTCGTACCCTGTACAGTCCCAGCCCCTTCCTTCCCAACACGACAGTTGTGTTTCTTCTTTATCGGCGAGGGGGACGTGGCCGGGGAGGAGGCCGTCGAGGACGCGCGGCGCGCCCTCCGCGAGGCGAACCCGCTGGCGCAGCTGCTCGCCGACGGCACCGGCTCGGGGCCGCTGCCGCCCCCGCGCGCCAGCTTCGCGCGGCGCGCACCTGGGGGGCGGCGCGAGACGGGCGGCCTGGTGGCTGGCGTCTCAGGAGGCAGGGGCCTCCTTGGAGCAGGAGATCGACTGCAGCACGGATGCACCCCAAAAGTCCTCCTCCTCCTCCTCCCCCTCTCCACCCCTCCTCCTCCCCCTCCTCCTCCTGCGCCTTCTCCTCCTCCTCCTCATCATCATCCTCCCCCCCCTCCTCCTGCTATGTCCTCCGCGCCTCCGCGTGGAGGAGTTCGTGCCTCTCGTCGAGCCTGCAAACAAGTACGAGCAAGACTCGCAGACCTGTGCGCCTTCGACGTGTTTGGTTGTAGTCTCGACGCAGAAGCACTGTTGGGGCAAATCAATGATGCAGTCGATCTCCTGGGCCCATCCCGGCCTCCAAGTAGGCTTCTTAGAATCCTCCAGGGGCCTCCCGAGAGAGAGCCCTCGCCTACTGACAAGCCCCGCGGCCCTCTCGGAAGGCCGCCCCCGTCCAGGGCCCAGGTCGCTCCGCTCCATCCGACTCGTGGTCGATTCGGGCCGGCCCGATGCGACTCGATTCCGACATGTGAACGTTTTTGTATTCATTGTTTTGCCAATCGGCGCGGGCCCTCGCACCCCCACTCATGGAGTAGATTTTGGCTGTTTATGGCGCCTGTTTCGAGCAGGTGGAGTCTCCCCCACCGGGCGCACTGCTGCAAACGGTCGCACTAAGGAGAGGTCTGGAGCCAGACCCCCCCTCCCCCTCCTTTCCGCCATATGTCGAAATGCAGAATAAGAAAACGCTCACTATTCCGACGATCCGACGCGGCCCGATGCTTGCACGGTATTGTTCCCTGAGACCTTGCCGACTTAATTTTATCGAGCCAGGCGGTTTCGCCCGGTTTCGGGCCCTGCGACCCTCACAGCTCGATCCGGCTCGAAACATGGCGCAGAACGATGGGGTTTGGGGCACCAGTCGTGATTTCCTAACTACTGCGTCTCAATACTTGTCGAGACGTCGCGTCACAGGGTTGTGCATCATGGCGCAGCCGGCTCGATGCGAGTTCGATTCCGTACCGAGGCAGCCCGATCCGATGCGCATGTCGATTCGCTCCGACTTGCCGAGAGGAGGAGGAGGAGGAGGAGGAGGAGGAGGAGGAGGAGGAGGAGGAGGAGGAGGAGGACGACGACGACGAGAACGAGGACGAGGAGGTCGATTCGCTCCGACTTGCCCATGCGGCGCTGACTGCTCGGGCGACCTCGCGCCACCGCCTCTCGTGGGCACCGCCGGCCAGCAGCGGAGAGGAGCCGCAGGCGTTGGCGGCACTCTCCGCGAGGCCCTGCGGGCGAGGCCGGCGCGCGCCGTCGAAGGTGAACTTCTGCGGGGCCTCCCAGAAGCGCCGCCGCGGCCCAGACCACCTCGCCGGCGTCGACGCCCTGACGCTGCGGCTGCCGCTGGACTGCTTGCTGCGCGCCGGCGCCCTGGTGGCATGGGCGCAGGCCCTCCTCGCGGGCCGCGGCGAAGACTCGAGGAACAAAGAACGGCCCAGGCATAAAGTTTGGGAGCACCGCGCGGAGCTCTCGGATCGGCCCTGGGCCCCCCTGGCGGCAAGACTGGCACCGCCCTTGGCGCGCTCTGCGCGCCAGAGAGGGCGGGCGCGCCAGGGACGCGCCAGGCGCGCGCCAGGGGCGGCGTCAGGGGCGGCGACAGAGGGGCCGAGCGCCGATCCGAGAGATGCGCGCGGAGCTATGAAAGTTTACGCATGTGCAGTTTTCTCTTCCTCGGGAAGACGCGGAGGAGGCCCACGAGGGCCTCGGTGAGGCGTGGCGGGTGAAGGGGCTGGTCGCGGTGGAGGGCATGGGCCCCGCGCTGCTGCAGTGCGTCGGCCAGCAGGTCGCATTGGAGCCGTGGCCACGAGGTTTCGAGGCGCCCTTCGTCGTCGTCATCGGCGAGCAGCTGTGCCAGGAGCGCATCGAGGCGGCCCTGGCCGCCTGTGGCACGTGCGCAGGCCAGCCAGCTCTGCAGAAGCCGCCCATGGACGTGGACACCAGATCGGCTTGAGCAAGGAGGAGGAGGAGGAGGAGGAGGAGGAGGAGGAGGAGGAGGAGGAGGAGGAGGAGGAGGAGGAGGAGGACGAGGAGGACGAGGAGGACGAGGAGGAGGAGGACGAGGAGGACGAGGAGGACGAGGAGGACGGAGGAGGAGGAGGACGAGGAGGACGAGGAGGACGAGGAAGAAGAGAAGCAGAGGAACCCTGGGAAGCGATCAGCAGACCCCCGCCCCCCCCTTCACCCGAGGAAATTGCAGCGCTCTGGCCCCAGGGCCGGGGCGGAAGCGACATTTCCCGCAGAGGCCCGCGAACCAAGATCCTCTGGGGGGGCAGGAGGAGCAGAAGGAGTGCTCCGACGACGGGCTTCCTATGGGTCCCGTCGACTACACGTAAGAGTGACCCTTCGTCAGAGTGACCTTTGGTGCGGGCTCACCGATTCCCCCTGATGACCGAGCGCGATTCCGTAGTCGCGTCTCGCGCGTTCGTGTTTGGACCCCCCGTGGCCCCCCAAAAGCCGCGCACCAAATGTCCTCTCTTACCCAGGGTCACTCTTGCGCGCAGCCGATCCCAGGAGATTTCCTCGCCGGGCGCTCAGCGCTGGGAATCCCGTCCCAAGTCCGTTCGTAATGAGTCCCTGCAGGCCCCTTTGATAGACGAGCGCCCCATGGGCCCGCCATTCAGGCGGGAGCTCCGTATTGAAGGAACCCGCCCTCCATCTTTCAAGCTGTTCGGAATGCGGCATGGGGGGGCTTTCAAATGTCGGGGAGTGCCCAGCGACAACGCCGCTTCGAAAAGGATCCTCCATGCATCCGAGTAGTTGTTGCGAGTGTGTGACCCCTGGCGATGAAATCTTACGAAGTGTCCAGCAAGAGCTCCCTTTCGAAATGGAACCGCCCTCCATCCGTGCAAGTGGTGCAGCGTTTTCCATGTATTGCAATATTTGTCCGGGAAGTACATGGTGAGAACCTCGGCCATTTGCCCCAGATACTCTTTGAAGGGGGGGCGTCTAGAGTCTAGAGTCCAGACTAAGGGTTCGGGGATATCATGGCCGGGGCCGTGATATCTCCCCGGATTACACCGCACCATCAAATTACCATTGTCGATCGTATTGTTTTCATTCAGATTAGATTGATAGTATGTTTAATCGTATGTTTGTCAGTGTTGTTGTTTTTCTTATTTGCTATGTTTATCGAGTACGCCGGCGGCGCATCACCGGCCGCTCCTTGGGAGTTTGTTGAAGTGGTGCGCAGCATCGAAAGTCGTGACGCAGCGCGCATGCCAGCTATGAAAAAGACGTCGGCCCATCCCGACACCGTGCTTGGGTTTTGGGACGGAGCCCTCATGGACGCTTCCTGGGGTCTCTCGAGAGGGCTCTCGGGGGCCTCTGCGGGGCAGTTTGGAAGCCTCCGGGGGGGTTCTTCGGGGCCTTTTGGGGCCCTCTTGGGGGCTCTTGAGGGCTTCTTGGGGCCTCTTGGGAGCCTCCTGGGGGCCTCTTAGGTCCTCCTGGGGGCCTCTTGGGACCGAAAGCTCGAAATGTCCGTTCGGGTTCCCCGTCTGGGCCCCCTCTTGGGGCCGTCCTGGGGCCCTCTTGGACCGCCCCGGGAGCCTCTTGAGCAGTCTCGGGGCCCTCCTGGGCCGTCTTGGAGCCCCCTCAGGGGCCTCTTGGGCCGTCTTGGGGCGATTTTGGGGGCCTCTTGGGCCGTTGTGGACTGTCGGAAAGCCAAAATGGCGAGAACGCCAGAATCTTTTTTTAGAAGAATGGAAGAACAAATGAATTTTGCTTCTTGGGACCCTCTTGGGGGTGCTCTTGGAGGCCTCTTGGGGCGTCTCGGAAGCATTTTGGGCCGTCTGGGGGCTATCTTGGGCGTCTTGGAGCGATCTGGAACCGTCTGGAGGCTCTCTTGGACCGTCCTGGGGCTCTTGGACCGTCTTGGAACGCTTTTGGGTCGTCCCCGGGCCGTTCCAAACGTTCAGGGGGGTGAGGGCGGGGGGGGCCGGCGGCAGAGTGGGCCCCTTCGGGGAAACTTCCAGGAGGTTTTTGACCAGGCACTGGCGAAGGAGGCCAAAGACTATGCCAAACACTCTGTCAGAGAGGTCTCGCACGGCCCACGCCCTCTGCCGCCGGCCCCCCCCATTACTAGTGCGGGCGGCTGCGCGGGGGTCTCTTTGGGGCCTCGTGGGGGTCTCCTTGGGGCCTCTTGGGGGCCTCTCTTCGTGAGGCCTTGGGGGTCTCCCGTGGCCACTTTGGCTTAAGATGTTTTCGCCCCGTGGCAGAACACGGGGGCCTTGGTCCGGGCCAGACCCTTTGTGGGTTCGTATCGGCGCGTGGGGCGTACCGATGGCGGGCTGTAAGGGAGCGTGGCAGATCAAGGGGCCAAAGCTCGTTTTCGAGGGCGGCCAGAGCGGTGCAGCGACTTCGGCATGGCCACAACCAGGTGCCGTGTCGAATGCAGGCAAGAAGGAGTCTGACTGGACTTGCTGCATTTGCGGTGCAGGCAGCAACTGGGCATTAAGGGTGTCTTGTCGCAAGCGTGGTGCTGCTAGGCCAGTTGGGACAATGCGCGGGTGCGGCAAGGGACAGGACCAGGCCAACTCGAAGCTGGAGGCTGCCCTTGCCGCCCTGCAAGCCCAGTTCAAGCTGCGCGCGGCCGAGAACAACAAGCGTAAGCATGAAAGCCGCGGTTCGGTCCGGTTCGGTTCGATGTACGACTGGTTCGGTTCGACCGGTTCCGGCTCGCGTCGCAAACCGGTCCGCGTGTTGGTCTGCGCCGCAGCCAATTGTTCAGGAGAGAATATCTCACCCCCCACCCAAGAAACCCCTTGGGTGGGGGGCCCAGGGCCCGATGGCTCCAAAAATCCAGAACGCCGTTAGAATAAACGCGCGAGGCAGCGCCCCGCGTCATTGTAGGTCCGTGCGCCTTGCGGCGCGCGGGTTACTAGGAAGGGGTATTCATGGGGTGTGTGGGTCGAGTAGGAAGAGACATTCATTGGGGGGGGTCTGGCGGCCGCGTCGCAGGAATGACAGGTAGGGCGGCGCACGTGTAACGGGGGGGGGCGGGTAGACGGGCGGAGGAGAAACCATGGTGATGAGAGGAGGGGGCGCGCCTGATACTGAAAAGGGAAAGGAGGAGGACAATTCAGCGAGGAGTAGAGTGTGTGGCCTCCCTCTCTTCTCCCTCCTTCTTCCCCCGCTCCCTCGCACTCGGCGTCGTCGTCGTCGTCGTCGCCGTCCGTCGTCGCCCGTCGTCAACGTCGCCGTCGCCATCGCCATCGCCATCGCCCGTTGTCCGTCGTCCGTCGTCCGTCGTCCGTCGTGCGTCGCGCGTCGTTCGCCATCGGTCGTCCGTCGTCTGTCGTCCTCCGTCGTCCGTTGTCCGTCGCCCCCGTCGTCCTGGCCACCGTCGCCGTCGCCGTCGTCCTCGTCGTCGTCGTCGCAGGCGTTTGGCCAGCGACCGAGCGAGGCCCTCGGCCCCCGCCGTCGCCCTCGTCGCCCTTGCCGCGGCCATGGCCGTTTCGGTCGCGGCCGCTCTCGCCGCCGGCCCCGCGCCCGAGGGCGCCTCGGCGCCCGCGGCGCAGACGCCGCCGTCGGCGCCGCCCCCGCCCTCTGGGGCAGGCGCGTCGCTGGCCGCGGGGGCCAGCAGCTCCGCCGCGGGGTCGGCCGCCGACGCGCCCGCCGCCAAGAAGCGCAAGGTCGTCGTCGACCCCGACCTGCGCCTCTTGTCGCAGATGCTCGTCGACAAGGCTTCGCCTTCTTACTCTTCCTTCTTATCTCCCCCATCCCTCGTCCGTCCTGCCTTCATCCCATCCCTCTTCTCCACTTGCTCCTCCTTCTTACCCTCCTCCCTCTTCCTTCTTACCCATCCTCCCTCTCCTTGGTCATCACTCCGCTTGCTATTCCTTCTTACCTTTCTCTCCCTCTTCTTCCTTCATCCCGCATCCCCCGCTCCTCATAACCCCAGCCCGCACCTTGCTCCGTCGCCGCGTCACCCCCCCTCCGCCGCTGCCCGCAGGCGGAGCCCCCGCGCGGCACCGCGGCCGAGGTCAAGTTCAAGCACCTTGAGAAGATCAAAGGCGTGTGCCTGGTCTTGCTCAAGGACCCGATGGGTCATGGCAGTCGGCGTAGGATTAGGAGTAGGGGTAGGAGTAGGGGAATGATGATGGATGATTGAGGGCGGGGTGTGGGGTAGGGGCAGGGGTAGGAATCGGAGTAGGCTCAGGATCCATATGCCTTGGGACGTTAGCCCATGCGGTCGATGTGGAATGGGGTCGGAGTGAGAGTAGGAGTAGGAGCGGGAGTAGGGCCATGAGAAAGAGCAGGAGGAGGAGTATGCTTAGGAGTATGAGTGGGATCAGGGGTATAGCATGGGCTGTTGTGCCCAGGGCTCGTGGCCTCATTCTCGCATCCTCCGCGATCGCCTCGCCACCTCCGTCGTCGTCGTCGTCGTCGCGTCGCCGCGCCCGCCCCGCATCGCGCGGCGCTGCAGGACACGGCGAAGACCGCGCACATCGAGGTCGAAGCGTCCAGGCCGCTGTCGGAGATCACCCAGACCCCGATCAAGCGCGGGGCGAAGAAGGCGGAGCTCGAGGCAGAGCAGTTGAACAGGTCGCCCACCTTCGACGCCACGAAGGTCAAGCACATCAAGGATATCCCCGCGGCGTGGATGCTGCAGTGCATGAAGAACTGCAAGGGTGCTGGCGACGTGCCGCTCGCCGTGGTCACCCTCATTACTGGCAGGTCGGGCGTCGCTTTGAAGCTCATCGTGCACTACCTTTCTGGTCACTCGCTGCCGCCCTCCCCCCTCTCCCCCCCCACCTCCTGCTCGCTCCCCTGCCCCTCCTCCCGTCTCCTGCCCGCTCCCATCCCCCCGCGCCTCACGATTATGAGCCTCCGCCTCACCTCTCATTTTGTCACCTTCCCCCTTCGCCCCGCATTCGCCCCGAGGGAGAGGAGGGGCGGGGCGGGGCATGAGGGCGAGGGCCATGAGGATGCAAGAGCACGGAAGATGATGACGCGGGT